CGTATACTAGTCTATATCCTCTTATAAATGTTCTGTTACAGTCGAGATCATTGTAAAGCTTCAGGAAAGGCTCATTTCTGTCCTTTTTTAGGATCGATACCTCAAATGAGTATCTAGTTTTGATATAGTTTAATATCAATTAGTGTCTGATTTTCGATACTTTTGACAACCTAATTACCAAGTCTCTTTCATATTTCACAACTATTTCACCACATCCCCCAATTAATGTGTGTTCCTTCTCCCCTCTCGCGCTCCTGACAGGGCCCTGATTATCTGACACATCAAAAGAAAGATTTTCACAAGTGTTTTTTGGCCAGAGGGGTCTTTATCAGAATCAACCAAAACTGTCATCCTCCAAAACAAAACAAAACCACTGAGGGCTTTCAAAATAATTACGGCTGACAGCGCGCGACCAAAAATGAGATCCCCGGGAAACGATGAAAAAGCAGGAAAAAAAAAAAAAAAAAAAAAAAAGAGAGAGAACACCTCGGGGTCTTCGGTTAATTAATTTTCAACAATCAACAAAAAGCAGATCAGCACTTAGCCTATATTGCTAAGGCGGAAGTGGCTGCGAAGTTTGAAAAGTCTTGCAGGTTTAGGCCAAAAAGTACAGTGATTGGAGGGAAAATGAGATCCACCCCAAGCCTTGGTCATGTTTTAATTAAAAGAGATTAATGAGTGTGATTAAGAGAGGAGTAAGTGTAAGCATGGACACAAGCGAGGGGAACAGTGAGTGGGGCATAAAATATATCATAACACTACTTCTATGGGCGACGATATAGCCTACAACAAAAATCTTAATCCCAAATAGGAAGTGTTCATGGGGGCACTTCCTGGCTCCATCGACTCTAATTAATTTTACATTGAAAAATGATCACCCCCTCACTCTGTAACTTCTGCGCTGAGCCTCGTCATTTTGGTCTTAAAATGTTTGTATTAGCCTGCTCTACATGATCCTGCTGTTTTAATTTCATAACTCAGCTCTAAATTTACTCCTATAACTGCTATTGTCGTGAGCTTCACTTCTCACACCCTTAGTCAACTTCTTTATGCAATCTACTCCAGAGATGGGCAAACTTTTTGACTCGTGGGCCACAAAGGGTTCTACAATTTGACGGAAGGGCCGGACCAGGAACAGATGGATGGAATTTTTTGGTAATCCACCTCATAAGAGAATCAGATATATGAAAAACATATCATATCTCATGTTATTGAAATATCCCATAACTGAAAATCATTACAAAGAATGACAACAAAATAACTATTTTTCAAGTTCTACAGTATTTAACATTTATTGAAATGACACTGAAAATTATTATTATTATTATTAAAGTTTGGGGGGCCAGATTAAAAAGATTAAAGTAAGTAAATCTTTATTTATATAGCACTTTTCAAAGACATTTTTTGTCCCCAAAGACAATTTACAGAGCATTATTCAGCATTATTCATTCAGCATTATTCATTCGCTCTGTACCTGGTGATGGTAAACTACTATTGTAGCCACAGCTGCCCTGGGGCAGACTGACAGAAGCGCGGCTGCCATGCCAATCGGCACCATCGGTCCCCCCGACCACCACTATCACTCATGCACACACCACTTTCATACTAGGCAATGTGGGTGAAGTGTTTTGCCTAAGGACACACAGTGATTGAATTGATTGTATTTAACTGACCATGACTATCAGCTGTTCTGGAGACCTGTAGCATTTTTTGGGTTGATGGGGGAAATCGGAGCACCCGGAGGAAACCCATAAAACACGGGGAGAAACATGCAAACTCCACACAGAAAGGCCCAGGCGACCCGGGGATCGAACCCAGAATTAAAGAGCTGCATATAGCCCCCGGGTCGTAGTTTGCCCACCCCTGGTCTACGCCATCAGGTCAAGATTTTTTTGTGTCTTTGATTTTAGTTCTTTTACTGAAACACTTATATAAGTACTAAACCCACATATTGCTGTGTTTCAGAATATGTCACAACCTTTCTCAGGCCTATCAGGTTTAATACTATCATTTAAATTGCATAATGTGTGGTCCATCTGAAAGTGTTACATCATCATAGTGTAGAACAGGAGTCGTCAGACTAAGGCCCTTTGACCCCCTCCCCCAGCCCCACTGCTCACTTTTTTGGCAAATAATAAAATGTCTGCATCTTGTGTTTTGTTGAAATTATTATATTTATATGAAGTATTTATATTTATTTTAAAAAATTATATAACATATTTACATTTGCCTCTGAATTTTCGTCACCTGACAAGCTCAAGATCAAAGTGAGTCAGCGCACTGTAAAGTACTGTTGTGTATATAGTGCAATAAATGGAATATCTGTGGTATTTCAAATTAAACCACTACTAATGATATACAAATATATGCCAGCAATTATGTGTTATGTGTCTAGTCATTTCTACTACACAATGAGGCCTGCTGGTGCTCATGTTGGTCTGGGTCATTCTGTTATACGGCCGACCCGACCCTGCCCCCCATCACAGTCAGGAACTATAAAGTGGCCCCCAGAGAAAAAAGTTTGGTGACCCTTGTTGTAGAATCTGAAAGCAGCACATTGCAGGGATCTGTGGATAAATCCAGTGATGATAATGACAGTCAATTGATTTTTCACAAATGAGAATAGCAGGCTGCAATTAGCATCATAATTAGCTTTCTTCCAATGTTGTTCTTTTTTTTTCTTCCTTGCTTAGGTGGGTATAAGAGCTCTTGGACATTGGTTCATTTTCTATGCTCTATACAAACAATAAATTAAACAAAACTGATCGTAACATCGACACATTGGTCCCTATTAGTGGAATTTCCTATTATCGTGCTGTTGGGCAAGACACCTCGACCTTTACTGCATGACTCTGGAAGCGTGTATGTGTAAGTGGTGTTTGGAAAGGCCAATTAGAACTAGAATGACTGTAAAATGTGTTGTTTGTACTCAAGCCGCTCTTACTTCCTCTAAAAAGAATTGTAGCTCAGTCCACCATTTATTTTTCTCTTTATATTATGTGTTTTCTTTCTTCTTCTTCTTCTTTTTTTTTTGGCCCTTTAAATTAGCTTTATTTCCTACCAGTATTTTCACATGGCTTTTTGTTGATAGTGCAGTCATTTAACAGCAATTATTGAAGGATTAAAAACTATAGATGTGCTTTGGGATTTATATGAGGCATAATTATATATATATATATATATATATATATATATATATATATATATATTTATTTGATGAAAGGAAGGCTGTGTCCCAGTGTTTTAATGAACCTTGTGTTTTCTATGGGCTGAGCAGTGATTAATTATAGCAGATTTTAGTCCCACACTGGTCTGAAATTTGTCTCTCTCTTCTCTGCACCAGATTTTCTCAAGAAGTTTTACCGGAAAATTACAAAATGCAGAATCCCTTGCAGATCAAATTGGCAGCGTGCCGTCATTCAGTTTCACAGACTTTTACGTACTGAGAATGAAGTGAACGTGAGTGATCAGTTTGTTTGTGAAGAGAACTTTTGGTCCAGTTTGTTTTTTAGAAATTTTTCTCCACTGGAAGTATTCAAATACACAGACAGTATATTGTGTTGTTTGCAAGGGACATTCTATTACCTACATAATTTATAATAATATGATGATTTGAACTAATGATCAAAGTAAAAAAAAAAACTGAACCTGGGTTATAACTGAACACTTCAAACCTTATATGTTTTATGAATTCTTTCCAAAAACACACAGAGTCTGGGCAGGTCCAAAATAAGTGAGAGGTGGTTTCATTTTTCATTTTGCAAAATGTACAGTTTGTGTCCATTGTCCTTCTAAGATGATTCTTTAGCAGATAACAGTGATGTAGAAGTTTGTAGCAGATTTCCCTTTGCTTGTTGGTGATGAGATATTTGTGAGGTCATGTCTGTACATTTTTCCTTGGAATATTGTCAGTAGAGTCTGGCTGTTAACAGCGCACGAGTAGGGCTCTGTTTGGGAGGTGCACTTGTGGCGATAATCGCTCTTTTTATACGACTCATTATAAGGCAAGTTTAATTGAAGATGAAACCAAGCAAGTTCCTTTTGGAAATTTGGAAGTTTGCAGCGCACCGTCTTCACTCACGCTGCTCAAGCCGACATCTTCAGGTGCTGACCCTGTCCTGCCGCTTCCCCAGTTTAGGCTCCTGGCTCCACTAATGACATCACTCTGTTGCAGCCAATGAAACAGCGGCAGGAGTAACATCTGTCATCATTATCATCTGTCATCACTGAATACAGCTCAGAACATCTAATAAACAAAATGTGAACTAAAACGTGTTAAATTAATACTACTGATTTCAGAAAAGTATCAGAATAAAATTATATTTTTGTTTATTTAAATAAAATGGCAAATATTGGTAGGGACTATTTTGTATTCCCCAAATATTGGTTGTGACATGTCCCCACTGTCCCTGTGCAAACCTATGTCCTTGTATAGCTGTAGTTTTCCAGTTAACAGCTACCTTTTACATTTTGTTGGGTAGAGATGGGCATTTCCAGGTCTGAAATCATCCAAATGATTCTAGTGAAGGTGTTTGGAGTTTAAAAACACAGCATTACACACACTTCCTGTATTACTACACTGACATCAAGGTGGAACATAGTGTTTTCCGTTTGAGAATGGAACTCAGCCTAAATATGTAGTTTGTGTGTTAAACATGTGTGAATGAAACGAAACACAACTCAATGTTTGTGATGAGGAAACAACATTATAACACAGCATGAATAAAAGCATATATTTTAATGAACAGGGGGTCTCACCATATTATGTGTAGCACCACTAAATAAATACTTTTTCAGTTAAAGTTAAAATGTCAGCTTTCTTCACTCTATGTATTGAATTTTAAATGTAAAATTGTATTAACAAAATCATAAAAATGCCATAAGGACAGAATCTCGCACAGTAATCTGCCACATTCCCTGGGTTTACATTGAAAAACAGAACTGCCAGGTGGTGGATTCTCCTCTGCTAACTCCTCCCTCTCCCTGTACTTGCTCCGCAGGTCACCCACTTGTGAAATTGGATGCCCAGTTCCGTGTGATGTGTGTGGCCGTGCACCCCTCCCAGCCCGAGGTGGTTCTGTGTGGAGGCTACAGCCCGGCGGTGAAGGCCTGGGACACTCGCAGTGCCAAGGTCAAACTTATTACCCCCTATAGATTCCACGCTTCACAAGGTCCAGTTTAACCTCTGCAGTCAGGGGTAGAGAGGGTTCTTACACACATTTCATTACGCTGTGTTTACTTTTACTGGTGGTATGGTACTGTTTGCACTTCAAAACAATACTGGAATATAGTACAGTACATACATAATACATAATTTGATATATTAGTATTATTGCCTTTGGGTCAATGTTGTCTGCTTCTTAGGGCTAAAATACTTGGTTTTGACTCTCTACAAAAACATTTGAAACCAGAAAGTGCAAGCTCCTGCATGTTTTTAAAGCTTATACACATTCAGTTGACTTATTCGTAACATTTAAACCAATTCTGTCCAATGTTTTTACCTAATCCAAATGATTTTTTACTGTCAAAAACATAACTAGTTCAGTGGTTTGCAGGCTATTTCTATCATACAGTTTATGGACGGCGATGAGTTTATCAGAGCTTTTCACAGCTCTCAGAAGCAAGACTGGAGATTTGCCATCACAGCAACACTAACAGCTAGCATGCTAACAGTGCACCATTGTTGCTTTCAGGTTTGCGGATGATAAAAGCACTTTAGAATTAGATCCAGACAGCGACCTCTTAACAATTTCTAGAAAATCTTACGGACTCATCAAAAGTAATTGTTTATCTTGTCAACTGCTATAACTTGCTAGCCAGGCTGGCACCATCTAGTGCCTCTGCTCATTTCTCTCCAGCGACTAGGTCAGGGATCAGAATACACTCGATGGTTTGCGGAAGTTGTAGACTGCGCCCCGACCAGTCAGTGAAGAGCTGTGAAGCCATGACGTCAAACTCAAGCACCTGTCTGGTTCCCTTTTGTGGTACAGCACAACAGTAAACAAAGCAGTCAAGATGGATGAAGTCATACATTCTGTGTTGGCAACAATTCCTGAGATCGAGGATTTAAAGCCAGAACAAAGAGAATGTTTGGTGAATTTTATCAAGGGGAAAGACATTATTGCTTTTCTTCCTACAGGATTTGGCGCATTACATACATCACGACCAAACAGCAGCTACTGGTTAAATAAAAAAGTACCCGCCTACAGTCGAGTGAACAAATTCTAATGCTGCGAGGTCAGACGGTTTCCATGAAGTGAAACTGGCTGATGAATCAGGATAATAACTTGCACCATCTTTTGTAAATAATTCCTCACTTTCCTTCTGTCCAGTTATTCACTGCAATTTCCACAACCTTCAGAAGCACGAGTGGAGTTTTGCTTTAACTAGCATGCTAACAGCGCACCAGTGTTGCTTCCAGGTTTGCATGTCATAAAAATGCTGTATATTTAGATCCACACAGCAGACCGTGTAAAATGTAACTGGCAGAACCTGGCACCATCTTTTGTACTTAAAATTATTGACAGACTTAGCCTAAACCATAATTTACCACTTCAGTGAAAAGGCTTTCGAGACGCTCATTAAGACGAGCTTAATTTCATCCTTAAGATAATTCCAGTTTATACATCGGCGTAATAGCTCAGGTTATCTCCTTAATTGTTGAAAGCTCATTTTGATTTCATCCTGGCGAAGCTGCAGTCTAATATTGCTAATAAACTAATAGGCTGTTTTATATGGTAATCCTGCTCCTCACAATTCAACAGCGCCGTCACTCTCGGGGGGGACTTCTTCCTTGTGTTTAATGCAGGAAGCCTTGTTTCTCGCGGCCCGTGTCAACTTAATTTGTGGAGAAAGTGGCGTTGGGGTCACGGCGCCTGTCAGTCAAAACTCTGGGTTATGTGTTCTGTGTCTGGAGGTGAAATTAACAGCAGTAGATATAAAAGGACCCGCCGTGACCCGCTCACCTGGCCGCCCTGGTTTAAACACATGAGGTCACTTTGTACCAGCATGAGTCATGAGGTGGAATGAGATTGAAGAGTGGGTTTTTCACAGCAGAGGCCAGTGATGAAGAGAAGGAGGGACGGAGAGACGGAGGGAGAGAGAGCACCGTGGAGCATATTAAAGGATTTGTGCTGGTGGTTCATGTGTTCGTGTTTGACTTAACAGCTAGAACTCTGTCATGGTGCAACTTTCCAATAAGTTCAGGTGACATGACAATATTTTAAACTCCTTTTAAAACCAAACTGAGCCGAGCAAAGAGGGTGTTGCAAAAATGTGACTACACTACTTACTCTCTTATCCATTTTGCACTACAGCAAAATTATGGACAGTGTTGGGAAGTAACTAAATACCTGAACATACATATTTTTGAATACTAATTTTGAGTAACTGTATTCCGGTAAAGTTAGAATTTCATTTAGTGATATTTAGAGTTCAGTTGCTTTTCTAAAATGAGAGGAATACATTAAATGGACAGTCCAGAATTTTGGACATAGGACCTCATTTCTTAGGCTACGTTCAGACTGAAGGGCTTAATGCTCAATTCTGATTTTTTTGTGAAATCCGATGTTTTTGCGAGGTTGTTCACATTTTAATTAAATGCGACTTGTATGTGATCTCCAGTGTGAACATTAAATGGCCCGAAAGTGTCCCGCATGCGCAGTGGGGGACACGATGACGTCAACCACAGAGAGCGTGCTCTGTGTTTACGGAAGTTGTCCAAACATGGACGCGAGCATTGAGCACCTGGCGATTTTAAAGTTCCTCTTGTACTGGAGCCAGAACATGTACAACTTACTTGTTTTAAGGAGGAGATTGAGAAGGAGAAGGACGAGGTTTTTGGCCGTGGTGCTTTGTGGGGCATTTGTGGCTTGTTGATAACGTGTAGGTCGGATGAATGCGCTTTGGCCTTTCAGACTGAAGTCGCATGTCAAAAGATCAGATATGTATCAGTTTCAGGACCACATATCCAAATGGCCTGGGTCGCATTTGAAAAAATCAGATCTGTGTCATTCAGACTGTCATTAAAAGATCGGATACAGGTCACATAGGGGCCAAAAAATTGGATTTGGGTCACTTCAGGCTGCAATCTGAACGTAGTCTTAGTTAGCCAGAGTGTTGGAGAGTGTTGGAGGAAATGAGGTCCTATGTCCAAAATTCCATACTGTCCTTTTAAGATTACACATGCCCTCATTCTCCTGGTGAGTGCATGTGTAATTTTTCCTTCTTAAGGAAATGCATAACTATCAGGAAAACAAACAAAGCTGTGTTTAATCCTATGTGGTTATGTTTTACATTTTAATGAAGGCATTCTGCAACTAAATACATTTTCAGAGTATTCTTCTCGTCAGTGGTTGTCGATAAGTCGATAATTCAAATGAGATAATTTGGGGGAAATAATCAAAAGCCACCCTGTATCGGCCCAAAAATATCAGCAGAGTTTATCAACTGACAGCTGCTCTAGATTCTAAACTCTAATAAGAATCCCATGGTAATTTTTTACCACTAAAGAAAAGGCTCCACACCAATTTCAGTGTCACACATCCATAGATTTTATACAGTTGAATGTAATTTACATGACCAAATAATAGTAGTTATTGTACCATTACCCCATATAGTTCTGATAAAGACTACTCAGGAAAGGCCCAGTTTTATTATGTAATTTTGCTTAAGTGTAAATACACGTTCAAATGACCTGGTTTTGTGGGGACATTATTCAAAAGAGTATAATTGTATTGAAAAAAAAAAGGTAGTTCAACATTTATGGATTTCAGTTTGAATATGTCTTTTAAAAGCAGTTGCAGTGGCAGATTATAGTCAGATTTTGTTATGCACGTGAACAAAACCAGTGAGTCTCCTATTGACCTACCGCACATAGGCCCCTGCCCTCCATCTTAAATCATGACTTCATATTCTAGGACGCACACAACCTACGCAGTGTCCATTTTAATCGTCCACTCTATGGGCAATTTAACAAGTCTCTGACAACACATAACCAGGCGATCTGATTCACGTTAGAATAGTCCCCTAGGGTTCTTATGGGTCCAACTCTTGGTTGGAATCAATAAATGGGGGAGGATTTTATGTATTTCACAGTTTCTCATCTAACAATAATGTCACCAAACGCAGAACATACACACAGACAACAATGTGCATAAAACAAGATAATAAAAAAGCAACAGATACAGTATGTAAGCTAAACAAAAAAGTAATCAGCATTAAAACAAATACTGTGTAAATATGTATTTCCAAAACATATTTAAAGAGCCCATATTACTCTATTTTCTGATGTATGTTATAATGTTGTTTCCTCATTTAAAACATATGTGGGATTGTGTTTTGTTAAGTATTTTGAGCTCTTCTGGAATTGCTCTTCTCTATTGAACTAAAGATATGAGGTAGTAGTTAACTTGAAACAGGGTTCTCACAGTCACTGAAATCCTGGAAAAGTCATGGAATTTTGTGAATTCAATGAACGTTTTGGAAAAGTCATGGAATTCTAGTATCTCTTTCACACAACTACAGCGTTCTGTTAAGTTCACATGAGGCTATTATGATTATTTCCAAACGTATGCACCTTTTGTTTAAAAGAGGCGACAATAAATGCATTGACATTATTTTGAATGATAAAAAACTATAATACCAAACCATAACATGAGTGGAAAGGGTTAACATTTCATATTTAGCTCTAAAAGTCTGATCAATTCTATACATGTAGGTGCTGTAAAGTAATGGAAAATTCACTATTGGTCATGAAAAAGTAATGGAAAAGTTTTGAAATTTTGTCAGTGAAAAAAGAGTGGGAACCATGTTGAGCATTTTGAGCTTTGGAAATTTAGACAGACTAATACTAAAGGGTGACTCAAATGTGTGAATGAAACAAAACACAACTCCAGGTATGTTTTTGAGGAGGTAACAGTGTTCTAACATGACAGAAAGCTCACAAGAGTCAATTTTGTGTAATATAGAACCTTTAAGAAACAAACATGTTGGGTTGACATGCTTTTTTGTCAAGTACTTGTCATTTGTATTATCATATTCATTTCTATGGAGACTGATCCTTTTATTATTACTACAAATTCCCTAATCTTTGCCTTAACCCTTAACTTAATTTACTCATAACTTAACTTTAAACCATGTCAACGATCTAATACTGAAGGAATGACCTGACGTTTGGCTCCATCATTTCGTACAATGTGATAAAAACTTTCCAAACCAACATATATTATCAGCATGCAAAGAAAGAAAGGGCATACTCTTTATTTCAGCATTACCACATAGCACACTTGACTTCACTAGACTCACTGCTACACACATTTCTACCAGTCCTGTAAACATCTCTCTGTGTTCTCAGGTGGTGAGGGAGTACAGAGCGTCCGTGCAGCAGACCCTGGACGTGCTGTTCCTGAAAGGAGGAGAGGAGCTGGTCAGCAGTACAGACTGTGTGAGCCGAGACTCTGCTGACCGCACTCTGATCGCCTGGGACTACAGCACCACAGCGCGCATCTCCAACCAGATCTACCATGTGAGGGAGTAGCTACAACAGACACAACACACACACACAAACACACACACTGCATTTTAGTTTCAGAGATCTCCAGATTTTCTTTTGTGACTCCTGTTCTGAGGTTAAAGGTGCACCATGTAACTTTTCAGAGGAGTGATCACACTAAAATGTATGGATCTTGCATTTATTCAGTTACTAGTGTTTTACTGCTAAAAATATATTACAAAACAAATAATCGCAACATGGGATCACCTTTCCACAGATATGACATGTAACTTGGCTGGGTAAGTTCATTTGTCTGTCTCCATGGAGATATTGGTATCAGATATCAGCGTCGATGCAAAAATATAAAATTAATGGAACAGATATCAGCTTCCTAATATTGGTTCATTCAGCTGATGTCCTGATTGGATATACAAATCATAAACTATTATATTATAGACTATTTAATGGTCGTAATTGGCTCAGAAATGTCAGCATTTTTATTTAAAGTTGTGTTGTAGTTATTTAAGAGATAAACAAAAATTCACACATTTGGATCAGTTTTATCTTGCTTTAAATGTGCTTTACGAAATAAACACAATTTTCCATCCCTACAGATTGCAGATTTTTATCTCCATAGTATCAGAATCTAGCCAGGCTGGCACCACATAGTGCCTCCGCTCAATTTCATTTCTCTCCAGCAACTAGGTCAGGAATTGGAATACACTAGACGGTTTGCTAAAACCCTGGAAGTACGAGTTCAGGCACCAGCCAATCAGCGAAGAGCCATACATTCTGCGTTGGTAACGATTCAAGAGATTGAGGATTTTAAGACGGAACAAAGAGAATGTTTGGTGAACTTTCTCAAAATGAAAGACTTTATTGCCCTTCTTCCTATGGGATTTGGGAAAAGCTTAGTATACCGGTTATGGTGCATTACATACGTGACAACCAAATAGCAGCGGTTGGTTAATATATAAATGTACCCGCCTACTGTTGAGCAAACGAATCCTAATGTTGTGAAGTCAGACAGTTTCTACGAAGTGAAACCAGCTAATGAATCAGGCTGATCAGAATCAGTATCAGAACTGAAAAAGTTGGATCGGTGAATCCGTAATAATAACATCTCCATGGAGACAAGCAGGTGGAATGGACCAGAAAAGTTACACATCTTTTCCTAATCTGTTCTTTTGAAATATTATAGAATATAAAATTGAAAATATGTTCAGTTTGAGTTTAAGATGGACCAATAAATTAACACTCAAGAACTGATTTACAATTGCCCAAGCCTCAAGCATGAGAGACTGTCTGAACCACACACACATGCTCCAGGAAAGCCAACCTAATACCAGCTTCATCCAGTAGCAGCTTAGTAAGACTCGAGTCAGCATAAGTTATGGAAAATACAATCTACTTATTGCTATTTCCAGGAGCGCTACACTTGTCCAAGCCTGGCTCTGCATCCAGTCGAAGAGTCCTTTGTGGCTCAGACCAATGGAAACTACCTGGCCCTCTTCTCCTCACAGCGCCCCTACAGGATGAACAAGAGACGCAGATATGAAGGACACAAGGTCTGTGGGGTCTGTGGCTGAGCCTGGGGGTGGGAGGGTCAATATACTGAGGTCAACTGTCTACTGCAATGACACTTCCCACACACACGACCTGCAGGCATCCCTAGTCTGACTTGAAAAACAACATTCTCCAAGCTCCATAATACACCAGCTTTTGAGACCCTTGTTGCTGTAAACCATAATGTTTCTTGGTCAAAAACTACATATTTTTTGCTAAAGTTTTACATATTTATTTTATTTATTTGCATATTAAGGCTGCCTCCCGCTTCAGCTATCGAAACACTGCTACTATATGTATATAGTATAAATTAGTTTTGACTGGAAAAAGGTGGCTTGCCCTCTCCAGGTGGGTGGGGAGTTCAAGTATCTCGGGGTCTTGTTCATCAGTGAGAGGAGGATGGAGCGTGAGATTGACAGGTGGATCGGTGGAGCGTTGGCAGTGATGCAGTCATTGCATCGGCCTGCTGTGGTGAAGAGGGAGCTGAGCTGAAAGGTGAAGCTCTCAATTTACCTGTCAGTCTACATTCCTACCCTCACCTATGGACATGAGCTTTGGGTAATGACTGAAAGGACAAGATCGTGGATACAACCAGCTGAAAAGAGTTTCCTCTGCAGGGTGGATGGGTGCTCCCTTAAAGATAGGGTGAGGAGCTCAGCCACACGGGAGGAGCTCGGAGTAGAGCCTCTGCTCTTTCATGTCGAGAAGAGCCAGCTGAGGTGGCTCAGGTATCTGTTCCTGATACCTCCTGGATGCCTCTCATTGGGAGGAGGCCCCGGGGAAGACCCAGGACACACTGGAGGGACTATGTCTCTCGGCTGGCATGGGAATGCCTTGGGTCCCCCCGGAGGAGCTGGAGAAAGTGTCCGAGGTGTAGAAAGTCTGGGAGTCCCTGCTTAAACTGCCACCCCTGTGACAAGGCCCCGGATAATCGGAAGAAAATGGATGGATGGATGCTAGTATAATCCGACAACTCTCCATATTTTTTAAAGATCAGAGATGCTCTGATAAATTTTTAGCTCAAATTGGTAGCTTAAGTGGTGGCAGCTATTGTTTGTAGCCTAATTTATATAGCTTAAATAATGCCTAATACATTATAGGAGCTTTAACAAACCCCTTACTATCTTCTAGCACTTTATTTACATACTTTCAAATTTTCCTTATTATTAAATTGTGCTATCACTGCATAATTACATTGGCATTGGCTTCCTTTCTATTGGATAAAAACAAGTTTATTTTAGAGGCCTGCCAGACTAAATAAAACACATTTTGATATAGCTTTTTATACAAAATACTTACTTTATTTTGTTTGGCAATTAGTTAGAAAAGCAGCATTTGATTTATTATATGCAATTTTCATATTTCTTAAATAATATGACACAAATTTGTACAAATCAAATATAGTTTTTTTCCCCAAATGGTCAAAACTGGCCTATTTCAGATCCCTGCCAGACTCAATAAAAACACTTTGTGATATAGCATTTCTACTTCTACAGTCCATTAATTCAAGGATTGCACTACACCCACCAACCTATCTTATTTCTTACATTTTTATCTCATACTTTATTTTTATGAAAACCTTTGCAGAATAGATTTTTGCACATCTGACAAAAACCAAAAACGTAAATGGCTAATGTTGCGTGCCTAATCTCCTGCTTCTGGCTCTCAGGTGGAGGGCTTTGCGGTGCAGTGCAGTTTCTCTCCTGATGGGACCCTCTTGGCCTCGGGCAGCTCCAGTGGCTCAGCTCATTTCTTTGACTTCCACAGCGGTCAGATGGTGCACACGCTCAGAGCCCATAACCAGGCCTGTGTGAGCGTGTCCCCCCACCCCGTCCTGCCCACCACCACGGCCACCTGCGCCTGGGATGGAGAGGTCAAGGTCTGGGCGTGACGAGAGCAAGAGGTGATCAGGAATGTAAGAAACGCTCCGGGTGAAAATGGAGGAGACAGATAATATGAGATCTGAGTCGGCACTGGGTGCTTCGGCGCTCTGCTAAAACACTTTTTATGCAGCGGTGGAATGACTTAAAGTAGTAAAGTACTGATATTAAAGGTACACTACACTATGAAACTTTTTATTTGGGGGTCCGTCACCTGCTTGTTTCTATGATATGTCATTGCTTTGCCAGGAATGTTCCACAGTATTAAACGATATATGTGATTTTGTAGATAAAAAATACCTAGAAAAACTGACATTCTGACTGTGAGTGGGGTTGCCTCTCCACAGGTCTGACCTGTAACTTGATCTGGTTCGGTTTACATGAAGATAGAAAGGTTTAATGCCATACTGTGAAACATTCCAGACAAAGCAGTAACATCTCCACTGAGAAAAGAATTTGACGGAGCCTCCACCAGAAAAGTTTATACAGTATACCTTTAAGTATCTGTACTTTACTTAATTAGATTCTAGTGGATACTTTTTATTTTTACATGGCTACATTTAAGAGATGGTATCTGTACTTCCTACTTCAGTACATGTTTGAACTGGACACAAAAGGAAAAGCTTTTTTTTAATTATTGTTTGAGACCTGCTAAAAAATCTGACACATGTATTTTGAGCAAATAAAATATACAAATAGAAATTGCTAGGAAAAAAAAAAAGTTTCTGTTGAACAAAACAAAATTCAGCTCAAATCTGTATCAAAACCACTAGCTTTATAAGACCTCAAAATCTGTGTGACATACTTTTATTTTTTACTATTTTAGTACACTTTTAATGGGCTACTTCAATACATTTTCTTCAGTAATTTTTTTCATTTGATACTTCTGCTTAAGTATTTTTTGCTCTGGTATCTGGGCTTCTACTTAAATAACAAAATTGAGTACTAAACTTGTTTGTGTCCCCTGGTATGTCAGAAACGTGTTTAAATTCAATATTGGTTTTAAGGTTACACTGTCCTCTGCATTTGACCCGTCCTTCAGTGTCTGAGGTCACACTGATAACATGTCTGTTTTTTCACAACTGCAAAAACATTTGACACAATGCAAAAGTTGTTTGTTTATTCGGACTTATTGGTTTGAATCTCAAGCCAGTTGCCCAATCAGAAAATGTAATGAGTTGTTCATTTTGGGTGCCAGATTCCAGATTGTAAAACCAGCCTTCTGTTTACAAATGTGGCAGCTTATGGCATCCCAATTTAAATAATGATTGTAGTCAAGTTTATAGCCCCTCCATGTAACTTTTTAGCCAAGTAAATAAATAAATGTACAGATTAAAATAAAAGCAGGTTTTTACATAGTGTTTGTTTCATTTGTTTTTATTGCACAGAAATATAAAGAAAAACATGTGTCCTTATTGTGAGGGGGCTTGCATCTCCACAAACCTGACTCTTGGCGTGGCCTGGACGAGGCTTGTCTCCATGGAAATATTTTTTCTTTGGGTATAACAGTCCACAGGGGTGTAACAATATCCAAGTCTCACGATATGATATCGCCACGGTACGAACCTCACAGTACGATATTTATTGCGATATTGTGGGAAAGCTCATGATATGGTGGGGAGACTCATGATTAGGGATGTAACAATATCCAAATCTCTCGGTACGATATTTTCACAATATTCATCACACGATATGATATTTATTGCAATATTTTATGGAGGCAAACAAAACTCTTAATATGCTACTTTTTCCTCTTAAATGCCTTGACAAGACTTTGACAAGAATTCGATATATTGTGATTGTCCATGATATTATTGTGAGAACTTTGACGATACGATATCACGATATTTCGGTTATTGTTACATCCCTAGTCCACAGTATTGCATAAAACTCACCTTTGTCCATGGAGAATGTCCTGAAGTATAGTTGTTTTTTTTTTCTGAAGAATCATGTTTGAATAATCCTGCTTAATTAGTCTGTCTACATCTTCAAAACTCAAAATGCTCTATTTCACCTTGTGATGTCATGAAGTGGTAGTTAACAGCTCCTTTTACCTTTTGTTTAGTAGAGATTGGCAATTCCAGGACTGAAATTATCCAAATGATTCTAGTGAAAGTGTATGGAGTTTAAAAGCACAGTGGAGCACTTCCTGTATTACCTCATGACATCACAATTTGGAAGAGAGTCTTTTCCATTTGATAGAAGAACTCGGCATAAATCTGCAGGGTTTTGTGTGTTAAAATGTGTGAATGAGACAAAACACATCTCCAGGTCTGTTTGTGATGAGGAAACAACATTATATGATCAGAAAATAGTGTAATATGGGCCCTTTTTTAATTTATTTAATCATGTATCAACCTTTGCAAAATCATCATTTACATCTATCCCCTCTGTATCCTCTGCTTATGCCCCTTTCGTCATTGTATTTCTGAACTTTTTTTTAGCTGAACCAAAATAGACAATCTCTCAGCGCTTCCTTATCTGTTCTGTTTTCCATTTGTCTTTCTGCAAACACATCACTTTCCCAATATCTTTTTGTTCTTCCTCCTGCTTCTGATATGCCATTTCCTTTCACACAGAGACAAGCGAGGAGTTCAGAGCCATCACCACATCTGTCAAAAGCAGTTACACGTTGAGACAAATTTCTGCCAATCAATCTGCAGAACACAAGAACCCAGGCTTTGTTTCGGTCCGTGGAGTGGAGCCGCTGGGGCCCTTCGCTTTCAACTTCTTTATTGATTCAAAAAAGTGCAGCTCAGCAGATTGTACAAATGTTGTGGAGATAAAATGAAATGATAAAATGTCTCTTAAAAATAAAGCTTTTTGTTTTTTTGCTGACTGCTACATGTACTTTTCACACAATATGCAACTCTGAGCACTATTGTTGGTTAAAGAAAGTAATGGGGCAAATCTAGGCATGACATAAGGAAATTTTCACCAAATCATCACCTAAATATTTATTTCAGTGTTATGTAATGGTAGATAATGATTTTATTTGACTTATTCCCCATGTATGAGTAGGCTATGTATGTAAATAGGCTGCTATATGTATAATAATAACGTGTGATTTTAGATCTCTTAAAGGGGGACATGTAACTTTTCTGGTGGGAGGTTCGCTACCTGTTTGTCTCCAGGAGAATCTTTTGGCATTGCCTGGAATTCAATGATAGTTGATTTGAGGCTCACAGTACTTTATCTTTTGTACATTCTTACATTCAAGGTGCATTGTGTAACTTTTCTGGTTGAAGGTCCATCATGCTTGTTTCCATGGAGATTTCATTGCTCTGCCGGATTGTTCCACAGTATGACATTAAGCAGCTCTGCCTTACATTTGTTTTTTACAAATTTATAGGTTTTATAGCTCAAAAATACCTAAGACAACAGGCATTCTGACTGTGACGGTGTTGCCTCTCCACAGATCTGACCTGTAACTTGGTCCAGTTTGGTCTCCATGAAGTTAGAAATGTTTATTGCCATACTGTGAAACATTCCAGACAAAACAATAACATCTCCATGAAGAAAAGAAAAGCATCTGTCGGACTCTCCACCAGAAAAGTTACACAATGCATCTGGAAATCATTGACAGTTGATGAGTTTATTTGAGGTTCACAGTACTTTTAAAATGTACATTCTTACATTGAAAGTGCATTATGTAACTTTTCTGGTGGAAGGTCTGTCACCTGCTTGTTTCTATGGAGATGTCATTGCTTTGCCTGGAATGTTCTAGCCAGGCTGGCACCACCTAGTGCCTCCGCTCAATTTCCTTTCTCTTCAGCTACTAGGTCAGGAATCAGAATACACTAGACAGTTTCCAAGAACCCTGGGAGTTGTAGACCGCACACTGGCCAATCAGTAAAGAGGTTTGAAGGCAAGATGTCAAACTCAAGCACCTGTCTGGGTCTCTTTTGTGGTACAGCACAACAGTAAACAAAGCAGTTGAGATGGATGTAGACGAAGCCAGACATTCTGTGTTGGTAACGATTCCCGAAATCGAGGATTTAAAGCCGGAACAAAGAGAATGTTTGGTGAATTTTATCAAGGGGAAAGATGTCATTGCCCTTCTTCCTACAGGATTTGGTGCATTACATACGTCATGACCTAATAGCAGCGATTGGTTAAATAAAAAAAGTACCCGCCTCCCGTCAAGTGAACGAATCCTAATGTTGCAAGGTCAGACTGATGAATCAGGTTTGGAATGTTCCACAGTAAGTTAAGTTTGTCTAAGTAGATAGAACATGGCTCTCCACAGATCACTGTTTATGCACAGGCCATGTCTCATGTCTCATGTGAAAGACTTCAAGAAGACTGGATCCAGACTTCACTCACTGAGCTACAGAGGCTGCACTAGCACTGATTCATGATAGGCTGCAGGTACTGAGGTTTAGTTCATTTAGATTTAAACCAACTGGATTTCAGCATTGAAACTGGAAAATGAGAAGCTTCACTGCACTTTCTGATTCCCTATAGTACATTACATAACTCTGTACAGTCAATGTAAAGTAAAAACATCTTCATGGAATCCACTGGAAAAGTTAAGAACAAATTATATCAGTTCTATTACTAATTAGCATGATCCACTATTATTTTGATTTATGTACGAAAGGTACGTTGTGCAATACTTTTTTTTTTATGGTAAGAAGCTTTTTTAAAAAAAAAAAAAAAAAAAGAGCAACACGTGTGTAGTCATTTTCCTAGTACCCATCTTTATTCAGTAAATAAACTGTGCAAAATATATAGAACCATGCATCAGACAGACTTGCTGACATGGACATTTCGACAGGCTGTAGTGGGTAGAGGTAGGACAGAACACGATGACTTCAGTGCCTTCATTCAGGGTCCCAACTTTGATAAATACAACATGGGATCATAACATCTAAATACAACAGTGAGTATATCGCGTTTAGAAATCATTCCACAAAATAGAAACCTCTCACACAGCTGTACATGTCTGTGAGTCGTGGACGGGAGTTTAAACTTTTACAAACTTTGTGAAGGTTATGGAGAGAGCAGATGTGTTTTTGAAATTTGAAACAGCCGTGAGCCATTTTGCCCGATCTGCAGGAATGGGAGAGGTAGACGAGCGGAAGAAAAGTGCCTATAGTTGAGCTAGCTTCTGTCACCTCTGATCTAAAGCTAACCACACTGGAAGCACTGTGCAGTATATGGCATCAACATGGGCCAATCTTTAGGCAGTTTTCTTGCAAATGAACATGTTTTGTATTTGTTTCACAGAGGTGGGTTACATGTACATGAGTAACTTTTGATGAGTAATAGTTTGTTTTAAGTAACAGTACTCTTACTTCAGGAAAAGTTTGGTTAATCTTCCCATTGTGAGTAAGTCTGACTCTGTAGTGACGAAAGCTTTTGGTCAACATTAAATGATTTAAAGGTGCATCGTGTAACTCGGGGGTCTCCAACCTGTAGCTCAGGAGCCACCAGCAGCTGTCCACCCTGTTATAAGTAGCTCGTCAAAGGATTTCTGAATTACGTATTATACTGAATAACTCAAATTTGATTAATTACCATTGTAAATGTGTTATTTTGAACTTTGTGCACTAATAAAAGGATAATGGTCTCAGGGTCCCCAGTCTTTTTCACTGACAAAATTTCAAAACTTTTCCATGACTTTTTCATGACCTGAAGTGAATTTTCCATGACTTTACGGCACCTACATGTGTAGAATTGATCATATTTTTAGGGCTAAATATGAAATGTTAATCATTTCCACTCACCTTATGGTTTGGTATTATAGTTTGTTAACATTCAAAATACTAAAATACTGTCAGTGTATCTATTGTCATCTCTTTAAACAAAAGGTGCATACTTTCTGAAATAATCATAATAGCCTAATGAAAACTTAACAGAACGTTGTAGTTGTGTGAAAAAGATATTAAAATTCCATGACTTTTCCAAAACGTTCATTGAATTTCCAAAATTCCATGACTTTTCCAGGTCTGAAAAATGACATTTTCAAATTCCATGACTTTTCCAGGATTTCCATGACTCTGGGATCCCTGTGGTTTTATGATTTAAAGGCGTCTAAGTCTTGCTCTCTTATATGCTTTCAATCTCTTGCAATCGCTAAAATGAGTAGCTCTCTGACATTTTCGTTTTCTAAAGGTATCTCACTGGATGCAAAAGGGTGGAGATCCCTGGTGTAACTTTTCTGGTGGAGGGTCCATGAAATGCTTTGTCTGGAATGTTTCACAGTATAGCATTAAACCTTTCTATCATCATGCAGACCAAAGTAGACCAAGTTACAAGTCAGATCTGTGGAGAGGTAACTCCGCTCACAGCCAGAATGTCTGTAGCACTTTTGAACTAAAACTACCTGTAACTGAA